ATTATTGCTACTCCATTGTGTGTGTGTGTTCTTGGAGACTCTTTCTCTGTGTGTGCACCTGGGCTTGCACTGTGATGATGATGATGAACTGCTTTTTACAGAGGGAAAAAGACATAATAATAACAGATGAATTTATATTTATAATTGCTTGTATACACATATATAGACTTATACCCATAGTTGGTGTGTATTTCTGTGTTTACTGGATAACTTGGGCTAATGGTTAATATCTTTTTCTTTGCTTTTTGTTTGCTGGGTCGTTATGGGCGTTGCCCTGCGGCAATGATGATGGTGAGCCCTTGCAAAAATAAGAAAGTAACAGACAGATATAGTATGAATTTTTTATTAGCTCGAACATACGCTCAGTTCTCTAGATTGTGTATTTTGTGCTCTTAATTTCTTTGTTTTGTTTTGCTTGGGCTTTTGTGTATGTGGTATTTCTTTTATTTTCATTTTATTTTTTCTATTGTATTTTAACTGCTGGTTTTGGTGTGCTCTATTTTGTTCTTTATACTGTGTTACAATTGTTTTTGTTCTTCTTTTTTGCAGTTAATTGGTTCTAAACAACACAATATACTATTTTGCAGAAATGATACTCTTGCGACGTCTGTTGTATATTATGGTTGTTGTGTTAAGCGTGGCATGTGTGGTGGCAGGTGAGGCACAACAAACGGGTGAACTTGCTGAACTGGCTCGTGGGGATTCGCATCCTTCTTTAGGTGCTGGAGTTATTCCTGGTGATGATGGTGCTGGTTGTAAAACTGAGTCTACTGGTTCAGAGTGTTCTCGTATCGGTAGTAAAGGTGCAGTTCCTCGTGCTGAATGTATGGAATCTCCTGACAAGGGAGGCTGCACTCGCACTTATCTTAAAACCAAAGGCAATTGCGGTGACGGTGGTAAACCTCCTTGTCCACCAGAGGCACCGCAGGAAGTGGGCTCTGGTGAAGAAGAAAATGATCGACACACTGATAGCGAACATTCAGCTCCCATTGCTTCAGTTGTTCCTGCAGATGCCGGGGATTCTGTTTCTAACGGAGCACATGAAGATAAGCCTGAAGCAGGTCCCGATGGTGCTCAAGGGGAACAAAGTCCTCAGAATTCTCAACCTGGAAAAGAAACTGATGCTCTTTCTTCTCCTGCTCCTGCACCTGCTGATGAGAGTCCTGCTGTACCAGAAAGTGGACCAGGAAGGGAAAGCGGGGATAAAAGTTCGACAGATGAAAGTGCAGCTGAAGTGGAAGGTACCGAACCACATCCTTCTTCAAACAATTCAACCCAAGAGAATACCGGTGATAATAATGCAAACGCTGGGAATGACACCAAACCTGCAGAAGGTGGGACACCAAGTAACCAAGATGATAATGGAAATACAGATACCACTACTACCACCACAACAACAACACTTCCTCCTGAGCCTACAAACAACAAGAAGGGTGATGCAGACAGCAGCAGTAGTATCAGCAGTTCTGTGTGGGTGCGTGTACCACTACTGATTGTGGTTACACTGGCCTGTATTCTTGTGTGCTGATTGTGGTGGTGGTGCTAGTGTGACTCAGATCATCCTTTGTTTTCTTTTCTTTTTCTTTTTTGCATGTATCCCTACAGTCTAACTAATCTTCCACCTGTTGGGATTATCTTCTTTTTTGTTTCTTAATGTTAATGTGTTTTGTGTGTTTTGTGTGTTTATCCTATAATTATTATTATTGCTACTACTCCATTGT